GGTTGAAGCCGGTACCCTTGAACTTTTTAAATGTAAACTCAAATCCTTTTTAAAGTTATTTTTATTGTTTGTTTGTTGTTTTTAGGAGAGTTTTATTCATAGGGTTAACCTCTAGACTCTCCCTTTCAAATTCATGTGGTTATTATTATGAGTTTGAATAAACATGTATGTTATGTTATGAAGAGGGGTTTCCAACTGGAAAGTCGTAAAATAATAACATAAATGCCTGATTCACACACTATGTCTTCACTAATATTAGATATTTTTGTGTTATGGACCACTTGTATTACAGTTGTAAGCAGAAAATTCACATAGCCTGAGAATAACTTGCTTGTCTTGTTTGACCAGTATTTTGAATGGGTACTTGATAAAAACTTTTAACCTATCCTATCATCATGTATAACATAGTGCATAAATATGGTAGATAATGAAGAACGACTTTTCTGTTTGGCATTCTCCTCTAAAAAAATTGAAAAGGTTTATACACGCTTTTAATAAGTCTGGGCGCCATCTTCAATTTTCAATTAATGACGTCATTCGCGGAAAGATTTCCACGTGGCCAACATGGCTACTCACGATGAACCCGCAGTTTGTACATGTAGTGAGGTGAGTTTTCCCTTTAAATCAAGTGTACTTTTGTAAACACAAACGTCTTTAGTGGCGAAGCAAAATTTAAGTTGGTGTTTCTGAATTTATTTCAGCTTTCGTCTGAGGATATTCCAGGATCAATGATATTTAGGGCCGATTTAGAAAAATGCACAAAAAGCGAATTAAAGTTGTGGCTTAATTGCCGTGGCTTACGTTATAAGTCAACAGAAACAAGAGCTGAACTTCTTTCTAGGTAAACTTTTATTATAGACCAACTAGTTTTTATTTTTGATTGTTTACGCGATAACATTAATGCGATAATTAAGCTTATTACCGACGTGACCTCTCTTGGAGGTTTGTAAGTTTGATTGCACCGATCACCTTTTAAAATGTACTATAATACTATCTCCATTGAATGTTTCTGTTTTCGATCATTAGTGTTTAAGTATTTATGTATCACTTTTAGGGTGAGACAGAGCTTGGATAAAGATTTTATTCTGATCGACCTCGATCCCGGGAAAGCATACACACGTGTACAAAAGCAAGATGCAGATTTTGTTCTGGTGAGGAGCAGCTTAAAAATCCAGAAAGCCAAGAGCCCGAAGGACTGGTTACAGATACAGAGGTAGATGCTGAAGAGAGCTGGAGTAGTGATACATCAGTTCTTCCCAAGCGTTTTTTCGACCTTAACATTGTTGAACATGCTATGAGCTAGCTATGTTGAAAATCCCCCGGAAAAGGGATACAAGTTTTTCTATGAAAATTATTGTCGTGATGTCTTATGTGGGCTTAAAGAAAATGAAATCCATGTAAAAGGGAAGTGCTTTAGATCACGAAAGAAGAATGAAAGGCCTCATAATGTTACTGTGATACTGTTAACTACTGGAGATGTTAAGAGGGCTAAGTGTTCTTGTCCATCACACCATGGGCTTATTATACCTGGTTGACCATGTTATTAAATTAAAGGCCCCTGAATTCCCAAGAATTGGAACATGCACAGACAACCCCCAACAGTAGCACAAACCAAGAACCCAGGGTATAAACCCTGAACCTGTTATGGGGTATAATGTGATCAATCCTAAATACAGGGAAAAGAGCCCAGAGGGTTTAAAGTGTACTTTGTATGAAGCCAGACAACCAACAGTCCAAAATCATGAGGAGGCAAATAATTTATTTGATTCACTTAAAAGCATTAATCCTTCTTTAGGATTCTGTACTGTGTTTGAACAAAAACCTGCAACGATTCCAACTAAATTAAATGGACACAAGGTTCAATGTGGTAGTGTGTTAAGCTACCAGCTTTCCCTAACAGAAGCAAACTCCAATGTTTTAACAAATTTTCCAGTCTTGCAAAGACCCAGAGCTGTTGGTACTGGAGTGGGATTGCAAATGACCCTCTCGTATCAGCAGGACCGGTTTATTAGTCATCTGAAAGTCCCTAATCCATCTTTTATTGAACGAGAAACTAGAGGTCAAAGCAACAACCCTTTGTGGTTTCAAAGTAGAAGACCAAGGTTAACTATTAGTAATTTTGGACTTGTTTGCAACCAAAAACTTAACGTATCTCAAACAAAGTTTGTTCAATAAAATTTGCTGTCACCAAAGTATCTTTCCAATGTGCCTGCTATAAGGTATGGTATTTCAAATGAGGCTAAAGCAGCAAATAAGTATGCTGAATACATGACAGGTATTGGACATGATGTTCAGGTCTTAGAGTGTGGTCTTGTCGTATCCAGCACAATGCCATGGTTGGCTGCTTCACCAGACAGAAAGGTGATAGATAAAATATTTGGTTTTGGTTTGGTAGAAATCCAATGCCCCCATTCATTAAGACACCTGACACCTGTGGGGGCATGTGCTGACCCAAGTTTTTATTGACAACTAGTTAATGGTTAACCTGAGCTTAAAAGGGATCACCCTTGTTACTATCAAGTACAAGGCCAGATGGGTTTGACAGGATTGAAGTGGTGTGATTTTGTAGTATTTTTTCAGAAACGCTTTATTGTACAGCGAATAAAGTTTGATGAGCCATTGAGGAAGTCAATGATTGCTTAACTAACAAACTTTTATCAGCACCATGTAATACCAGAGGCCATGAAGGTTTAAGTCTTTAGTTCAGATTCTTGTTCAGCTTTCTCTTATTTTGAACTTTAGGGATTAGGTATGGCTTGTGTTCTCAGCATTCGAACACAAAGGGAAGGCTGCCAGTTTTCACAAACCACCTACAACTAAAACTAGGATACTTCAAGTCCTCATCCCTAAAATGAAGGGAGCAGACGACTGTATGCTTCTGCACCTAGAGAAATAGCAATATGTAAGAGATCAGAGAAGCAGTACGAATTGGAACTCAGACAAAAAAACTAGTTCCACACCTTAAAAGTTGAGTTTTCTTCCCGTCTAATACACTGCAGCCATGCTTGCTTTACATTTAAATTGCTTGGTATCTTATGGTAAGTCACATTTCTGTTGCGCTTGTTATCAAATATTACTCCGTAGGACTTGCAGAGAGGAACCGCACAATTGCGATTATTAGAGCCTAGGAGAAAGATGTGAAAGCACTAGTTAATGTTTATACGAAAAAAACTGGAATCAAACGATTGAGACTGGCCTGTCTGGGTCTCTCTTCCTGACATGGTGACATCACACGAGTCACAAATCAATGATGGCAGCTGAAATCTTTGCGAATGATGTCATTCATTAAAAATTCAAGATGGCGCCCAGACTTGTTAAAAGCGTGTATAGGTATGTGCCGCCCCAAAGTGTTTGGATTTTCAGCGGTTTGGTCTGAAGTAGGGTATGGGTATCAAGGGGACCCCTAGACTACGAACAGTTTCTGTCTTTTTCTTTAAAATTCAGTGTCAGACACTAAACAAGGTAAAGGCGTTCAAGAATCGAGTATAACTTTCAGAAGCCAGGTCTGAGAATGACGGGTGTGGGAAATTACATATTTTGGTCTGAAATAGGATCAGAAGTTGGAGAACTGGGCGGTACACCTCCACCAATAATTCTGCAGAATTCGCGGGTGTTCTGGAACCCAACCTACCTAGACGAGAATGGAGCCCTTCCTACTCAAGTAAATAACTGGTAGCTTATTTGAATAGTAAGGGTTCCATTCTTGTCTAAATAACGGCTCCTGACCTCGTCCAGGGGAGGAAATCCTCGTGGTGCAGATTGAAGGAGCCACCTTGGCGAAGGCGATCAGTGGGCGAAGGCGTCACTTCCTTCGCGGAGGGTTTTGCTGGTGGGTGAGAAAAAAGATTTGGTTATTTTTATGCATGGATAGTATTTTTCAAACAATCGATCTTATATTTTACAAAATTTTACAGTAGACAGAATATTTACCTTAAGTTGAGGAACACGGGATCGATTTCAGTGTTTTCAAAGAAGAATCTTGTGTTCCCGGCAGTGGACATCTTGGGCACTATAATCGCCCTGAAGTGGCCTGTGAACAAGGGGGTCTTTATGCCCACTGCCCAACCTATGGAGTTTGACTGCTCCTCGAAACCCGTGATGTTCCATTGGAACGTCACCACTCTTCCTGGCATCATGGGTGGTGTCACCTGAAGTGTAATGGATGAAATGTCCATTTACACCCTCAGTTGTAGAAACTATGTGTGAAAATATTGCGGTTAAATAATTGGGGCAATCAAATATTTCTTTTGCTATTAGTGGAGCTCCATAAGGAAATGTGGTAATCTACCCATCCGAGAAAATTGGGTAATCACATGACCGTCCTACGCACCACTGGGAAACCAATGTTTGCTCTCACTTTCTAGCTAGTTTGGTAGCCCAAGAGAAAACTAATTGCAAATAAATGTTGTGATCAATTGACAGCTGTCAAAACGGGAGATGGGCTGACCAGTATCATCTGACCATATCGCAGGCTCAAGTGTTGACCCATTGAGGTCAAGTACTTTTTTTTACTGTTTTAAAGTTGTCCGCTGACAAATTACCAGTTGGAATGATCGCGGGCTCAAGTCTATTTTTCCAATGATTCATATGAAATATGTTGTGTTTATGTCACTATAGCCCCGCACTGTCAAGATTTTGATTTCAAACTGACCTCGGACACGAAAATTCAGACAGCCTTTTAAAAATACTCTAGCTAATGGCTTGATAGTCTTCCATACATGAAGACAGTCTTGCAGTCCTCCTGCCTTAGAGGAATTTGATTTGCAATAATAGTAGCAAGAGTTGTCTGACTTACCTCAGCTGGTGATCCTACTGGGTCTTGGTTGCCGGTTGCCGAGGTCCTGGGAATCCGCTGGGGCAGAGCATGGCTGCGGCCTTGACCTAAAAAATAATTAGAGGAGCCTCTTCCCCTGCCAGCACTCTGATTGAAGCAGCCACGACCACGTACACCCCTAGAGGCTGGGACTTTGTAACATTCCATGCGTCTCTTAGGAGTCACTTTATTGCTGAGTTTGTGACTTTGTTAACTCTTCCACTTCCTTGTTTAGGTCATCTCCAAACAAGAATGTTGACACAACTGTAGATGGGTTGCATAAAGGAGCATATTGCTTGTTCGGGTCAGGACAAATGAGATCTCTTCGTTTCAAATTAAGCTCTCTATTTGCTGACACCAGTAGGACTGCCATATGGGTCAAAACATTTCCCTGATCCCCATTTGCACTGTTACACAGCTGAAGTACAGCATTTGACAAGAGCAAAGACTGTGCCTTCTGGAAAGCTGAATCATTGTTTCTGGTAGAAATTGTTGCCAAATTTGTTTGTTTATCTTGGGTGCAACCAAATTAGTGCAGTTTTCAGGTCTAAGGTACTTGCTCTGTACCTTGGCCAACTTCTCTTTTGTGAGCTTCTCTGCCAAATTTGCATCTATGGCAGGTGAAGTTTTCTCTAGAATGCTAAATTCATCGAGTGATTTAAAGGAATCGCCGTCCAAGCCTTCAGCATGGTCTGAGGTTTTTGGCTTGATAAAATCGTTTATTTTGGTTGCAACAGCTGTATCCAAAAACTCAGTGCTCACTTCACCGCCCTCAGGGCTGGTCTCATAATCTTCAAAATTGGCATAAACCTTCTCGATAGAGTCTTGTACGTGGGCCACAATATCTCTTTTGGCATCACCTTGAGGTCCGCAGGCGAAGAACCTCCAGAATTTGCAATTTTCTGAGATTCTTCAGTCATTGTCTGAAGAAATTAGGATGGATAAAGAAAGTGTCAAGCTTTTTGCACTACAAAATAGCGGTGGTATAAAAAAAAATCGGCTACATAGCTAGTCACAAACTCGTTTAGAGCCATAAAGATACGAGGAAAGGGTGTAAATGCGTTACACCACTATTGTTTAAACTCTGGACATGTCCAGGGGTCTTCTCATTAAGTTATAATTCAGCACAAGAGCTGAGTCCACCTGTGACGCCACAGAGCACAAAAAGGGAAAAAATCCAGACAATAACAGCTGGAAAATGTAATGTGGAGCACGTCTACTGTAAAAGAAAAATAAACGAAAAAGTAACTGATAACTTACCGTGATAAGCAGCTGCCAAAGGCGGAGAAGTATCGGAGAAAAATAAACGTGACTAATCCCACGGCGAACGATACCTGCACTGACCTGCGGCTGTGCGTGCGCATCTCATGGTAACTTGAATGTACATAATGATTTGGTAGAATCTTCTGGTTTTTCTAAAAGAAGTGGATTGAGAGTTGATGACCTCTTTGTCAAGTGAACTAAAAAATGTAGGCCCTTGAAAAAGGGTGAGAACTTTTTAGTGTTTGTACGTCAATATGGTAGACGGTAGGCCTGGGAATTTCTTGTGTTGTAAGAGTGGAATTGATTGCTGCGGGAGAAATTGTCATTAGCCCTTGGAGGTAAGAATGAATTTTTGCAGTACATAAATTGGCCCAGTTGAACCAGAAGGATATCATTAAATTTTAGTATACCGAGGTCCTTAAAGATGGGGTCTGTATGAGCCTTGAAATGTGATTTACTAATATTTCTGATGATGCGCTTTTGTAGGATAACAAGGCGGCAGAGATTGATGGAATTCATTGACAGTAGCATCCCCAATCAAAGGCTGAATCCGATGTTCCTTGGAACGCAAGTTTGCATCATTGCAAAAGCACTTAGAACAGCGATGTTTAAGCGTTATATAAATTCCATTATTATTATTATTATTATTATTATCATTGTTCGGTACCATGTAGAAATATTTTGTAGCAGCATTGCTTCTCTACAAAAGCGCATCAAGTATGCTCCTATTGTTACACATTTTCTGGCAATCTGGCACAACTACGTACAATTTGTAATATTCAAATAAGTATAGATAATCAAAATATTGTTAAAGTAAAGGAGACAAATTTTCTAGGAGTAATTTTGGATGCAAACATAAATTGGAAGTCAGAAATATCACGCATTGCAAATAAAGTTGTGAAGTCAATTAGTATATTATCTAGCTGCAGCTTCTTTCTTCCTAAATTGTCTCTACGTATGCTCTACTATTCCTTAATTTGTCCTTAATATAGTCTGAGCTTCGACCTATAAAACCAGTCTCTCACCTTCAGAAAAGAGAGCTTTTGTACAGATCTCCAGTTCTGGCGATCATGACAGTTGATGTCACAAGCCCCAAGACCATGCTCCATTGGAGAAAAGACATGGTATGCACGTTTGATATGATTCATGTGAACCATATAGTCCCCAAGGATCAGAGCTCTTGTGGCGTGGTCTAACGGATTCAGCATCTTCTTATGGTTATGAATGTAATCTAGATCTCAAAGGTCCCTGATGATATACTGGCCCCTTCTGTTTCCTCCTTGCGACAAGTAAACACAAACCTTAGGTCAGCAGGAACCCACCAGAATCTGTCTTCTGTGGCCTCAGTTCCAGCAAGCTGAAGCATGATCTTCCTTCTTCTCGAATCATAGTTCAGAGAGTCACTGTACTTCCTGCCATTGCGTGTAAATGAACCTCGTGTCGAACTTTTTGCAGGCGGGCATACACAAGATGGCTACACATGGAAGGTTTGGATGGATTTAATAGTACTGTATTAGTGTAGGAGCCTATCTTACACTCCTTGAAAGCTGATATTATGGCATTATGCCCTTCTTCTCCATCGCCAACTTTAAAAGTAAAATGGTCCAGGCATTGATGGTTTTCACCAGTTAGTCTGTAAAAGCCTAGAAGCTTGTCGGTAGCCTGGTCATATGTCACAAGGGCAATGATCGCAGTCTCGTCTTCTGCTGCCAACATAGGAATTGAAGATCGGTTTAGCTTTTTCATTGCCTCTATATAAATATCACTGTACTTTCGGAAGTTCCTAGCTTGAATTCCTCCCTCTAATTCTACTTTGTGCTGATTGTGTCATTTGTAAACGGAATGGACTTCTGGCACACAGGTATTCATCGTAACAAATGTTGCTAGCCTAGGTCCCCCCAAAGCATGATGACCTCCAAGAAAAGTATCAGTGGTGCTTTGTACCACTTTACGTTTTTATGAACATGAAAATTCTGTGACACAGACTCTTAAATACCCATCAAAGTTTGTTTGTCATCCAGCAAACCTTTATCTCATGCACTTTGAAACTTGTAACAGATAGACTTGATAGACCCACGCCTCGCATACTCCACAAGTTTCTCTTACATATTTCGCACTCTTAGATGCAAGTGCAGGTTTTTTGATTTAGAGAAAAACAACCTGGATAAATGTTGAGCTATTCTTACCTTTAACTCCTCTAACTTGTCCAACATCTCTGATGATGTCAGATAGCCATTGCAGATTTTCTCAGTTTCTTTTCCCATTCGAGTCACAAGCCTTACTTCTTGGTAACAAGTGCTTCTTGAATGAAGGTAAATTTGGAATCAACCAGCAGGAAAAACACATTTCATTAGAAAAAGTTTAAACATCAGCTAATCTTGATCAAGAGACGCTTCCAAATGGTCCTTTTATTGTCCCTTCTGAATCTTCTCCAGGCTTCATGAAACTGAAGTGAGACTGCGGATGCCAGGTAATTTTGCCGTCGTCCTTGTCAGGGTTTAAGTCGTTAACCACTAGTTTAGGGTCAACAGAAACTGTGTCATGATTTATGCTGTATACATACTTGTTCAGACAGAATCCTTGACATCGTTGCTTTACAGGAACATTGGAAGCAGCAGATCATTTTGTTGCATCCGTTAAATTGGATGATATCTTTGTGACAGGCACGTAAAAAGCAATAGCTTGAGCAGAAATGGCACCTTTCCAAGCATTTTGCAGATTGCTGGAACCTTTCATGTGCTGACCCAAATTTCCCATGATGTTCCGACTGAGTAAAAAAGTGTCAACTTTGCTTGCCAGACAGAAATCACTAGATTTGTTAAGAATGGAGACATTAGAGAATTTTGGATTTATCTGAGCATGCAATTCTGACAGCTCTACCAAAACATTGGATTCTCTTAAATGAGCAATGAAGGCACTGGTTTTGTGCACTTGTGTTGCCAAATGCTGTCGGACACAATATGTGGCTTTCTTGACACTGCGAAGAGCCATGTCTGTCTCACAAAGGCCGCAATGAGCAAAAACAATCTCATTTTTTTCTTATCACAGGTGGTTGGACCTAGTTTGAGCCATCTGTGTTTTCACGATCCCATCTACAATTTTCCGAAATTTTTGCAACCCTTTATCTTGGTCAGGCAAGTTGGCTCGTTTAGCATCAGACTTCTTTGACTCAACCTTTTTGTTGGAAGCGTCCTTCTAATTGTTGCAATCACTTGGCGATGAGCTGTGGATTTAAATGACTTCTTCATCTTAATCTTTGCTGTGACCATCATTGGGCAGGGTGGGTCTATTTCAATGTTTTGGGGCACAGTCGTGTCATTGCTTTGGTAAGGCTCACTGTATTCACGACTATACTCTCCCTTTAATGTCTGGTCACAGGTTATTTTTATCGTTTTACATCCTTGGTCGTGGTGGTGCAGAGCAACATGATTCATGGGCGGGTGGCTGCAGTACTCACAGAGAATACTGCCAACTGTTTCGCAATTCTTCGCAAGGACAAAAAGTACACTTTCCCTCTTCTGCTCTCCGTCATTGCCCATATGATGAATGCAAAGTGGTCTGGAACAAAATAAAGCAGTAGCATGTGTCCACTTAACAAGATGTTCAGCTGCTTAGAAACAAAGTTTTTTTTTCTGAATTTGCAATGAGCAAAAAAAGAAACAGCCATTGAAACTACTGCAAAAAAGTCAGGAAAAAATCACATTCGTCTTGTATAATAGAACCCTAGCATACAACATTTTTGTTGAATCTGCTGGAAATGAGGTACTGGTTGTAGGCTTGCAGTTGCCTGAGGGCGCTTTAAAAATTTAAACTTGCGAATATGTGATCTATTAATCACGTAATTGGGAAGGAAATCAATCAACATGTTGTGTGAGTAATGTGTTCTAATCTTTCTCAATCGCACGTGGCTGGGCTGCCTAGTTGATTTTATCCATCTAAAATAACGCACTGCCAGTCTGCAAAGACACAATGGCAGAAGAAAAAAACGGAAACATTAACCTTCATGTACAATGCATTTGTTACAAATGTAGGAGAAGAATTTGAGGCTTCTAGAAAACTGGGTCCCAAAGGCAAAGCATTCCGTGTTTGTAATAGCAGAGGACAACTTCGACATCTTCAAAGAGAGCTTGTTAATGGGCTTTGGCCTTTGAAAGATTCTATCCTTAAATGGTGAGTAAAACTAAACTAAAATCCAACATTGTTTTAAACTTTATCAAAAAAACTGATACTATATTGCTTTCTCGACATAATGATAATTTTTTTCTATGTCCCATGCTCATCACATGCTGATTAATTCATTTTCACATTTGTTTCACCGAGCTTAACATTTACCGTCTCTCATTCTTTCACTACACAGTGCAAAATCAACTTTGTTGATCCTTGCAGTATGCAGGATGCATATCAAATATGAACCTAGTATATGCCCTCGTTCTCCATGAGTTCCCTGTAGCTCAAGTGTATACAGCGCCCACTTGGTGCTTGGGAGGTCATAGGTTTGAATCCTGTCGGGGACTCAAAATTTTTTTCATCCCATGCTCTTGACATGCTGATTAATTGATTTTCACATCTGTTTCACCAACCTTCAAAGTTACCATCTTTCATACTTTCACCACACAGTACGACATCGACATTGCTGATCCTTGCAGTTTGCAGGACGTGTATCAAATATGAACGTAGGATATGGCCTCGCTCTTCATGAGTTCTCCGAAGCACAAGTGGATAGAGCGGCCACCCGGTGTTTGGGAGGCCATAGGTTCAAATCCTGTCGGGGACTCAGATTTTTTCTTTGTCCCTTCCTCGTGATATGCTCATTAATTCATTTTCACAGTTGTTTCACGAAGCTTAAGATTTACCATCTTTCATTCTTTCAGCAATGATAACATGGTAAAGGGAACCTCCACTCTTTAAGAAAAAAAAAACGCTCAAAGTCCTCTTTAAGTCTCCAAAAGTAGATTTTTCGCACAGAAAAATGTTCTCTTGCTTTAGATTTTTTCTTTTTGGCCTCTCAAGACAGGCCCTCAAGACAAGTTTGAACTTCCAGTGATTGCCATTTTGATCGGCTCGCAAGGCTCTCAGGGGTGATGACGTAAAATGGTTGCTCGTCCAGGTGGTCTTGACGCATATGTTCTGGTCATCTTTTTGTAAACAAACTTCGTATCGTGATTTTAAAACGATGTCCATTCAGCCATATCAGCTTGAACCTGAACATTCTTCCAGTGA